AGATAAATGTCAGCCGCTGCCAGACTTCATTAGTGTATCATTAACATTTGTACAAAGTTCTCAAATTGGAAATTACTGCACCTTCACATTGCTTTTTTTAGTTGATTTTTTTTGTACTTCTCACAGTGATGAGGCTGGTTATTTCAGCATTTCACTGGTACTGTAGGGAAATTTTGCTCCCCACTCCACCTCAGAGAAATAAAAAAAAATCACCTTAGTAAATATGGAGTTTCACTTCCTATTTTTGAGGAATTACTAGCAGTGCCGTTTACAAGTTTGAGGAGGTGTATAGCCCTGCATGTGACTGAGCTGAACAGTCATTTTTACCATGTTCACTGTGTTGTGTTGCGCAGGCCTCACACAGATTGAACACAGAGCAAATTTTCATACCAACCATGACAGAAAAACAGCAGTAATTATAATAAACTATCATAAAATCAAGAAAGATGTTAAAGAGTTGCAGCAGCCTGGAGTGGAAAAAGAAAGAGTTTCAGACCTGCATCAGGACGTCAGAGCTAGTTAAAGGCTAAAGCCTAGTTCACATTACACGATTTTCACCCCAATTTTGACGTCACAGAGGATCTTGAGAGCCACCTTGGGTCGGAGGTGAGTCGGCATATAGTCTGCCACGATGAGTCCTCATGTGTGAACAAGCCTACGAGCAAGTTGCCCCCTCGTCTGTGACTGGGACTGGATATCTGGCATCCTAGAAAACTGGAGAAGTTTGACACAACTGACAAAGAGCATCAGCCAATGAGAGGCGGGATACGTTCCATGTCGGCACGCAGGAGGACGGAGGAAATGTGAGGAGGACAAGTCACAAGGTTGCCAGGTCTGCTTATTAGCCGCAACTTTGAGCTTGTTTCTAAAGTGGAGTTGCTTATTTGGGCTTGCTCTCTAAATGTCACCTTTCTCTATATATATCCGTCCATTCTCGGAACCCATCGGCTGTATTTGGCATCTGACTTCCAGCAGACGACGATACAGCCTCTGGGGGCAGACCCCCGATTTTTTGGCATTCCAGTTTGATTTGGGCGGAGGAGGTGAATTTCCGTTTCCGACTTCCGTTTATATATAAGTAAATATGCTGAACCATTGCGATGGATTCAGAGTTTGCAGTGACGCCAATTATGTTCCGCCTCGTTAGTTCACTGCACGGACGGTTTAACCTGGCAACAACTGCAGCTGGCTCAAACGTGATTGGTCAATATCACGCGGACTACAAACAGCCTACAACCGGAAACCAGGGCTCTTCCGCTCTTCTTCCGGAGGCAAGATCTCCGGGGTTTGCCTACAGACTCTACATTTACTGAATGTAGAGTCTGTATATAGAGACTAATATCCATCTAATAAGTTATATAAACTCACTCACCCAAGTTAAAAAACGTAGTTTGGTGACGTCACCGTGTTATCTGGGGCTCTGTCGGCGAGGGCTCGGTGGAGAAATCTTGTGGTGTGCACACACAGGTCGTAACCTGGGGAGACTCCCTTCTGACAGAAAGAAACATCGCCAGGTATGAACACTCAAAAGATTACTTTAGTCTCTGTGACGCAAAATCAGGGTGAAAATGAGTTGGCTTCCCTGATATCTATAGGTCATGTGTTCCATAGCTTTGGGGCGTAAAGCAGTGAAGCAGTAAAACATCACAAGTCAAGGCTCACTTAGGCTGCAATCCATTGCATCTCAAAGTCAATAATTCTAAGCTGGTATTCCTGACTTCTGATCTGAATGCATCCCGGTGCATCTGCTCAGGAAAACATGGACAGCCACCCCACAGAGGACCTACATCCATTACCACAGCGATGAGAAACTGCATGAAACTCTGTCAGCTGTCTTGCTTGTCCTTCCTCATGAAAAAAAATATGTTCAACAGCTCAAAATTGTGGAAACAGGCCCTGAGCGAAAAATTTTGAACCACAGCCAAGTTGTAGACGTTGTGTGCATTCGTCTTGCTGTTTGCAGAGATGGAGAAACACATGTTCACAAACAGGAATGGCAGCTACATCGTGGTTGCACAGCAAGTTTCACAACAAACACTACATGAAGTAAAATTGATGAAAAGGTAATTCTATGTTGCTGTAACGAAAGTTGTGGCTTTGTTGCCAAACTCTGGGCCAGATGGATCTTGCCCGAGTTTCCGCCTTGGAATTCTGACTTGAATGACCATTCTGTTACACTTTCCCATGTCTGAGGTTGTGTTTTTCCGAGATCCAAGTACAATGGATTGCAGCATTACTCACTTCTTTCCTGTCTGTAACCACTCTGTGTGTGACAGGTCCGACGCCGACCCAAAACCCAAACTCCGGTTTTAACCCTAGAAGTTCTGTCTTGACCTCTGACAGCAGTACGTGTGCTCAAACATACTCTTGCTTTTTATATCTTGCTGCATCATGGTCTTTTTCACCGAGTCATGTGATTGAAAGCCGGTAAGTGGTGTGTGGAGTCTAGATAATTTTGTTAGCCTTAAACTGCTGTTGTCTTCCTCCAGAGCTCTTTGTGCTTTTGTTCCTTCTGTAAAATCACAAAGCAGAGCCGCTCGGACATTTTCAACTCCAGCGGATACGTCTTCACTTGAATTGGCACCAAGAAGGGCAAATGTGTTAGTGTTTGTTTGCATGCATCCTCAAAGCCCCTGATTTCCACTTCATGCTCAGCCTGAAAGCACATTTGAGGCTCTCTGCACATGCATGGCCCTATTTCAGTGTTTCCCCTGTTAGCCGTGAGAAAAGGAACCCCACAGTCTTTAAGTGATTTCATGTGTATCATCTTTACTAATGTAATTGTGCGTATACTGTACAGCTAACCCTCACACGCCCGACTGCAATTTTACAGCCATCTTGAGTTATCCAGTGAAGGTTCACAAGTAATAAAGATGGGAATCTTTCCTGTCTCCTATTATCCATCCCATATGATGTGGAGGCAGCAGTGCCTGGGTACAGGAGAGTGTGAGAGCTCTGCACTCTGTGTAATCATACCTGAACAGAGGTGTTTCTTTGGACAGTGTGAGGCTGATATTTCCTTTGCTTGCTCCAAATTCACAACAAAATATATATATTCTGAAGTCACCATCATGCTATCATAAGGTTGGTGACGTGTTTATACGTACCAGGAAATTTTGGTCTTGCCAACTCCTTCTTGACAATGCAGAATTACACTGGCATTGAGGCTCTAATGTCACAACAGTTTGCATTGTGAGTTATTCCCTTGAGCAGTGGGACACCCTGCCTGGGACCTCACAGACTTAGCATGCATCAAACTCTGTGAGTGTGTAACAGGGGATATTTGAACCTGGCCCCTGGGTGCACCCTGTCATGGTAATACCTCATCCTGATTGGCTGTCTCACATTTTAAGTACCAGTTGATTGGGGCTAATTAAAACATGTTTACACAAAGTTAATGATGATGGGTTAAAAGTGTTCTGTAAAACAAAAAGGTGGTTTAAATGTTTTATCTTCATGGACTAATTAAGGCCTTGGACGGGCAGAGGGTACTTGTTGTAGCTCTGGTTGAGGGTGAGAAGCTGTCAGAAAATAGGTTGCTGGGCACAGATGTGTGGGTACATGAGACCCTAAAAAAGAGGGTGGATCATGGGGAGCACCACCAGTTGGTCCAGGAGCTTCTCCTCCATGATGGCCGTTTCCAGGCATATTTCAGGATGACTCAGGGGCAGTTTGACAACCTGCTGTCCATCGTCCGGCCGTATAGCTCTGGGTATCCAGCAACTGCTTCCACCAGTTTCTCCTCCACTGTTTACCAAATGTAAACTTGTTGTCGTGACCACCACAGAAGGCCCGCCTCTCAACTCAACCTATTAGACAACGGAAAAAAAGATGACGAAAGAAGAAATGACATGGGGCACTATTCCGCACTGAGTTGAAGTTTGAGTTGAACTCGCAATGCACGTCGCAATGTAAAACTGCAAGCAAAAAGCTTCATTCTCATTAAAAACTATTACAAAAGTGGGTCATACACTTGCATTGCACCCGCATTTTTGGGGCCCTCAAACTCATTGTTTTCAATATAGACGCAGGTGCGCTCAAATGCCAGAGCGACACCGTAATTTTCAGGGCACTCTGAGATAAACTGAGTTCAACTTTTGGAACGCAGCAGCGCGTGCTGCATGTCATGTGACGAGGACCAACCAATCACAGTCAACAGACACCTTTTCCTTCTTCTATAAATATCAGTCTGTGTGAAATATGGGATAGTTGATCATGTTAGCGCAGGGCTGCCAGAGCTTCATATCTGTCCCACAGACGATAGGCCTACACACTTATAAACAGCTACTGGAAGAAGATCAGCTCTGCACTCAGGATTTTAGGTAAATAAGCTGTGATACGGTGCTTGATAAGGTTGCTTAGCAACTTCAGATGCAACCTGCTGCCACGCTCTTGAAAGCTGATTCATAAAGGGCACAAAAGTAGCACCTAGCACCCGACCTCGTGTTTTCCATATGGTTAAAGACACAGCATGTGTACGACCCCATAGAAGGCTAATATGATACCTATGAAATGCACAGATGTTATGTGTCCGTGGTTTGTAGAAACATCCAATGCCAAGATTTACTTCTGGCAATTGGGCTGGACAAGGCTTTCCTCCTCGAAAGTTTGTCTGTTCCAGGGTCGGGGATTGTAAATCGTGCAGTGTCCATTATTTGTGTCCATATGGGTGGATACTTAAATGGGGCCCATCTTATCCCTGTGCTGTGTGCATCAACAAGGTAGCAGAGAAGATATGTTGGGGTGATGAAGAGGGGGTGGAATCATTTCCTGTACATGGGGCCCATCATTTCTGGCTACGCCCCTGCATGAACACAGGAGAGCGTGATAAAGACATTTTATTGACAGTTTATGTGTAACAGGACCAACACTGTTGTCTTTTATTGTTAGTACTTTGATTAATTCATTACTCTGTTCACCATGGTCTCGCGCAGCCTACTTCTCTTTCCAATGCAGCGCACGTGCACGAGCAGTGCGCGCAGGCCGGGAGCGCGCGTGGAGGCGGTCCGGGGCTGCCTCAGTTTTCTGTAATCGCTTTTCTGCTGCTGCTACCTCCAGTTAAATAGCTAGGACACGGGAGCGAGCAGACGGCCGTGTGAGGATATACTTTTTTCGGTACCTTGGGATTACGACGCGAAATTGCAGCATCGACGGCAAGCCGCCAGGTAATATCGACACGCGCATTTAGCCGCCCCTCGTAGATACGCCAAAAGTAAGTAAATGTCCCGTGAAAAGTGTCGTTTTCCAGTTAAGAAGAAGGAGGAGGAGGAGGAGGAAAAGAGGGGGGTGGGGGGTGGATGTGTGGGACGAGCCTCCCTTTGTGCCGAGGCAGGGTCACTGCTCTTCACGGCACAATGTGGACACTCCAGAAAACGGCGAGGCTCCGCATATCTCCCCCCCGCTGCCCCGCCGGCCCTGCCGCTGACCGTCCTCCATCAGCCCCGCCGTCGGCTGCTTCGGACGAGTCCGGCAGAAACGCCTTGTTCTATGCGTATTTTCATTGACTTTAAAACATGGAGGCCTGTTCTGCTTTTCCTTTTTTAAAATACCCCTCAGCGGTAATGTAACGCACCCTACTTTCCGCCTCCTCCTCCCCCCGGTCTGGTAACGTTAGCTAGCTCCCATTAATGTTTACGGTCGCTTTTGTAGGACGGTTCGGATTCACTCCCCCCGGTCGACCCCTATTGTGTGTTCACCCCCACAAATGTTGACCTAGCCGGTTTGACCAAACAGTTAAGTGATGTCTGACGGCACACGAACATCTTAACTTGTCTCCGGTGTTATTTTAGGGGGGGGGCATGGCTACAATGTCTCCGCATCGACCCTGTCATCTCTAACGGCTATTGAACCGGGTACATTTTAGCCATTGATGTCCCTATCATTACCGTGAAACGCCCCCCGGGAAAGGCGAGCTGCCCGCCACTTCACTTCATCGTTTTGATTAACTTCTCCCACACCACCTATCTTAAATCTGTCTGCTTTTATTTTACATTTTAACTAACATTATTAAATATATTTAACCGTGTCTTTGTCGTCTGTAAAGGGGGCATGAATTAACCAGGGCAGTGCTCGTCTTCACGGATGGTCTCTTCATTTTCAAGTCTTTTCCGATCTGTCACTGATGATATATGTGTGTTATTTCTGACTAAATTAGCCTGTAAAGCTATAAAGAGCTATATTACTCATTACTAGGTCATACAATTGACCCTAAACCACAATATTATTTAGTATTTGCTCAAAGAAAAAGGCAAAAACACGACACAGGGCAGCAACAAGGTCTCTATATGAATCTAGGCCAGTAAAGCTACTCACATAAAGTCCTCCAAACTATTAGGCTGTAATATATAATCCCTAATAGATCATTAGGTGAAAGGCATATTATATTCCTTTTAACAAGGGAGCCATACATGTGTAATTCACAGCACTGTAGACTTTGACAAATGTCTTTTCATCAGCTCTGCACACCCCTGCTCTGCTTTAACTCTCATCCACATCCAGCTGGACGTTGATTAAATTAAACCCATCTTACTGTGGCTTCCTCTCAAATCTACCCATTTTGCTGAGATAGCGCAGGCAACCAATCTGCCATTATATGATCCGAAGTGGAAACTTGCCTCGCCGTGCTCACAGGTTGTGGTGTGACATTTTGCTTTCTCAGGGCCCACGATGTCCAGTGAAGTGCAGAGACCGGACGACAGCCCCAGCACCAGCGGGGGAAGCTCAGATATTGAACAAAGGGAAACGGTACCGCCTGAGCAGGAGCGAGAGCAAGCACAGCCCAAAAAGAAGGAGACCAAGATCTCGAGTAAAACCGCTGCTAAACTTTCAACTAGTGCCAAGAGGTAAGAAGGAGAAAAAAGAAAGAGGCTCTGGAGAGCGGCATTTACACAGGGGTTGTTTGTTAAACTAAAGGCCTCTCCCCTTGTGCCCTGAGGGTGTGAAGTTATATAAAAAGACTACAGTCCCACAGGCATTGTCATTTCAAACATCCACGCTATTCAGTGTGACACTAAACCCACAGACAGGATGTAACTCACACAGCTCTGCACTCGAGTGTCACTGCTGTCATTCGAAAGATATTCCCATTCCAGCCTGTTTGTTTGAATAGATTCGCCTCATGCTCCGCAGCACTCTTGTCTCACCCACACCACCACTAACACTTACCTCCACCAGTCTTCGCACTTATTCCCAAAAAAAGACAGGCGATGACAGAATTATTATGCAACCGGTTGAGCAAAGGGTTGACTGAGGTCGCCGAGTCTTTTTTTAACAAGAGGCCGATGTTGTGAGCATCTCCCTTTTGTGCGACTGCGCCTCACTTTAAAGCAAGTCTCTACGAGGGCCTTAACAAGGGGCTGTAACATGGAGAGGCTTCGCTGTTGTCTGAAGTGCTGTGTTTATATTAACGCAAGCTTAGCGGCAGCGTTTGCACTCGGTTGCCCTTCACAGTCTGAATCATCATTTTGCACGGTTATCTCAAATTCACAAAGCAGTCATGTTCATCCTCATGCACAGTATTCCTTCTAATGTTGTTTATGCACCACAGACTAGCGACTACAATGAGAGAGATGAAACGTAAATCACTTATGTTAAAGCTGTAATGACAAACTGGCTTTACTTAATTCATACCTTTAACATGGACAGCAAGTTAAGTCATTTACAACATGCTTGATGATGAGATGTTCTCAGCAGCTTTGTCAGTGTTGGATGCTGTGTGCCAAACGGCTGTAGTTTGAAGGTGAACTTTAAAGCAACATATACCTCATCACAGACTTGAAACACTGACCTTATGCTCTGTAGACTTGTCCGTTCCTTCAGCTTTTATTATCCTCTGGAGATTTTCCCTCCCAAATCAGATTTTAACAATAAAATCCTTCTCTTCCAGGATTCAGAAAGAGCTTGCAGAAATAACACTAGATCCACCTCCAAACTGCAGGTAAGGAGATGTTATCTCTTCAAAGCATTTCTGTAATGACTCATAAGCCTGTACGTACAGATGCTCAAGCTGTAATGGAGGTAGACGGCAGAAACGTGCTTCTTTCAAGGCTTCTTGTCTCTTAAAAAGGAAAGGCCACGCTGCGCTGCACTCGCTTTTGTCTCCGTTCCCATAATGCTGTTGTTTGTGATTTGTTTGAGATGGTAATCTCAGGTGAATTAGAGAGACTGTAGCCTATTCTGGCCCTGTTGTTGTTGTTGCTGCATAATGCACGCTGCAACCTCTGTTGAAAGCACAGCCTTTTAGATCACAGTATTATGGTTGCACTGAAATGGTGGAAAATGAGCAGCAGTGTGACTTTAAAGCCTGTTTCGATTCTCGTGTGGTTCCCCCCCTCGCGCTGTGCTGGGGATTTACCACAGACAATGGTTATTGTGTGCCACTGCCGCGGCTCTCAGCCCTTTGAGGAAGAGATATGGTCGCGAGCGAGTGGCACACCACATGTGCATCGGTCTCTGTGGACATGACAAAAGGAATGCCTTTGGGATGTAGCGCAGGAGCCTGTTTTTTATTAACTTAAATAACACAAAGTGACGCTGTCATTGATTATGGTGCTGTTCATTACAGCACAATAATAACTCCCTGAATTAGCACTCCACTGCAAATTAAGACAGAAAATGGAAGCCGGTCCTCCTAAGATTGAGGACACTTGTGGGAGATGCTGATGTTTTCTTAACATTTTGGATTGGCCGTATTTGTTCATGGACACCTGCTTAAAATGATTAAGGAAAATGGCTTTGTATGACTCATCTGGCGATTTGGAATTACTTCACCCTAGACGGCCTTGTTTATTGCATGAATTAATCACCCCTGCTGGGTCTCATCAGAACCCCACCATCATTAACGATAAACATTGAGCTAACCTTTTCATTCCAGCTCACAGCCCAGTTTTGTTATTGTACTGGAGGCTAAAAGAGATGTTGTTTTCCTCGAGGACTCTAATCTATTTCAACCCCCCCCCCCTCCTCCTCCCACCCAACTCCCCCTCCCAAAAAAACTAGGTTGGCTCACATGAAGGATTTAGCTGGAGGACACGAGTAAGTCATTTGAAAGTAAAATAATCGCTAGCGGAAATTTCACAGTCATCGTCTTAGTGGGGAACTAGTTGCCTGGGAAACAATTAAGCTTCTTCAAGATAATCCTTTTCTGTGTGTGTGTTCCCTTTCCGTACACTCCAAAAACGATACCAAAATCTAATAATGTGTTTTCTGTGATGCACCCAAATAGATTAGCCCTCTGTTAACAGTGACAAGGGGGAAAGGGAGGAGACGGGGGGTCAGATGCATCCAACATAAAATTTCTCATGCAAACGATCACAGCACCATTTACATTCTCGCATGAATGAGTGCGCGCGGTGGAGCTAGTGTCGTCATTTGTATGCCACACGCTCCTCGCTCCCGGCCAGGTTGGCCTGAAAGGTTATTCATTTCTTTCCCTGCAACAAATGAAGTCACAGACTGTTGGCCCGCTTCAGGAGGCAGACGGAGAGTTGTGTTAAAGACATTCACTTCTGCACATTCAACAAACGCTGCACAGGGGGGCCGGTTGATGCATGTCATCTCATCTTTATTTCATCTGAGGAGCCCCTCAGACTCCTTCTCCACTTTGTCCTGGTCAGACGGAATTTGCTGTCCTCATCGTGTTAGTTAAAATCTGCAGTCTCCTTTGGATCATGTTCAATCTCTTCAGCATTGCCTTCAGGGCTGTGTGTGCGTTTCTCTCACCAAAATGGAGAGCTCTGCTTTGCGTCTTCTCTTGTAGAAAGAATTTACCATTTAACGCCTCTGAAGTGTTGAGGATCTAATTTAGTGAAACATCTGTGGCAGGAGGCGCGCATTTGATAAGTCTAATAAAACGCCCACGCCTTTTCTTCTAGCATCCATCTAAGGTTACTGTGTTCACCCTCAGCTGCGTTTAATATCACAAACCGCTGTTACAATAACCCGTCTGTGTTGATAAATTACACACTTACTGATATGTCCTTGTTTTCCGTGACTAAGAAGAGCCTGTAACATTAATGCTTTAGTTATTTAAAAAAATCAATTTCCATACAGTGTGACTGAAAACTGTCATAGTTTTAATGCTATGTCACTACTTGGAAAACGCAAGCATTTAAATTCGTCTCCGAGCTTTATCTCACTCTCAGCATTGTGACAGCTCGCTTGTCACCTTGGCAGTTGTCATGCATCAAACGAACAGGAAACACGCTGAAGCCCAAGAGGATTTGACATGGCAATTATTCTCACTGTCATACACTTCAAGTACATTGTACAGGCAGCTTGTGCTTTTACACCTATTGATACAAATGAAGCAGCTTCTGTGAGGAGTAGTGTTTCCCTTTCCCCGCAAGTTGCACAAAATTCTTAAAAACAGTATTACTGGGAATAAAATTTGAATTAGATGTGCTTAAAGAGAAACCTGACAGGCTCATTGGTGTTACTGAATTTACACTGTCATAAAAATTCATGTTGTTATCATTTAAAAGCAAGCAAGAGGTCTTTTTTTTTTTTGAGTAGACAGTTCTGAACCAAAACTGTAAATGCCCAGAAAATTCACCTGATAGCTTCATTTGTTCACCTTTCACTGTTTTCTTTTCCTAGTGTATCTTCTGTGACACTGAATACCCAACATTAGAGCTACAACCAACATTTAATTTAATTGTCTAGATCATTTTCTGGATTAGTCAATTAACTGTTTGGTCTGTAAAATGTCAGAAAATGGTAAAAAAAATTGTCACAATTTCCTAAAGCCCAAAGTGATCTCCTCAAAATGCTTTTTTTGTCCCATTAACAGTCTAAGGACTCATTTATACTCCCATAACATACAAATAAAGACCCGTTAATACCAGTTGAAATGATAGCTTTCATTTATTCCAGTGGCTTTGCTCACCTGGCGCATATGCTAAAAAAGTTTCTTCCCTCTGGGTTTACTTCCGTGCAGCCCACTGAAAATGCGCAGTAGTGTTTCTCCTGCTTACCACGCCTGAAAGTTCCTATTCATCTGATAGACTTTACTTTGCGGTGACATCACTGGTTTTTGAATCCCTTTCCTCGGCTTGAAGAAAGTTTTACAAATTTAAAACCTCCATGGAACAAAAATTCTAATAGAAAGACTCATAATTGACCTTGTTTGCAGTTTGAGGTGTTTCTTTTACAATGGTGGTCTATGTGGAAAATGCTCTTTGGGCTGCGAGGAATTTTATTCGATGCAGTACCGCCAGTGGCCACTGGGGAAAATTGGCTGCAAGGTTGAGCTGCTTTACTGGGGGACTGGTCACTCCTCACATACTTCCATGGACCCTTTGCGTTAGCACAGATACCACTAGATGGCAGAGTCAAAAGTTTCTGACAGTAACAAACCTGATGGTTGACGAGGTCGTAATAATCTACCTGTTAACAGAGGCAGCGTTGTAGACAGTGGTGGTTTGTTAGGCCATTTAATACATCACAGCACGTGGGCGGAGAATTGTTTTCACTTTATTACCAATTTGTTCCATTCCACCATTTTTAAAATGTCTTCGTTGTGTCGAATCTAGCTTGAACTATGCTACACTGCCCCCTAAATCTCCTGTGGTACTGCTCCACGTTGTCCATATCCATAAGCCTTCAGAAAGTGTGTAAAAATGCTGAGTACAGACAAAAGGCTCTCTCTGTGCCTATATACGTATCTACAGTTGAGCATAAATGAGCCATAAAACCAAAAAATATTAAATTTACAATCAGAATTCTCACAATTTGAGGAGCTATACCAATAAATGTCGATTAAGTGACTTAAAGGATCATGGAAATAGTTGAGTTTGAGCTGTAGTGAGCTGCAGTCTGTCCAAGTAACTAAGCAAGCAATGCGTTTTTATTTGTATAGCACCTGTCACAGATACCAAATCACAAAGAGCTTAACATTAAAAACAAATTACACAATAAAAGCAATAAAAAAGACAGACAGCAACAGTACACAGCACAGAGCTGACGAGATAAAAACCCTGCGACAGCAAATAAATCAGGACAGAAACAAATAAGAAGGTTATTAGCTATTCGGATAAGCTAACCAAAAGCCTGTCTGAATAAAAATGTTCTATCCGGTTTCATAAAGACATCACACAAGTCCAGGAATCGCAGTGATAAAGGGAGAATGTTCCAAAGACCACAGGAACAATGTGGTGACTCTTAAACGGAAAGAATCATTCTGCTTTATCTCACACACCCGCCCGAATCACATTCCATCTCTCCCACATCCGATATGCTCCTGTCATAAAAATACTTCTTTCTGCTTCTCAGTTCATATTTCCATACTTATCACCTCCATCTTGTGCATTTGCATTGCCACCGTATCACAGGAATTGTTTTAGCTGCTTTTTTATTGCGGTGCTGCGGCTGTTGTGACTCGTAACTATTCTCTCCTTGTAGTGTTGATGCACTGACACCAACATTTCAAGCAGAAATCCAAACAAAGACCCTTTTGACATTGTTAAAATAACAGCTACTGGTGTTGTACCTCGCAGTTCTGGACCACTGTGCTGTTTGATGTGTTTATCGTCTTCTCACAGATGGCCGAACAGATACTTTCATTACTGCTACAGTGGAGTGATGGCAGAACAATGTTCAGCAGCCTAAAACATAATAGTGCATGTCAGGGTTTTGGTGTCAACTCATCCACGTTCAAAGATTCAGTATTTTAAAGCTGCTATTGTTCGCTGACGTTTAGCAATCACAGCTGAATAATCCATTGCAGAAGAGGCAGAGATACCAATTTCTCATCCCCAGGCAGCTCAAATAGATTAAATGCAACGCAGTTGCAACCCACGGTGCATTTTGAGTAACAAGTTCACCCCCCACCCCCCCACCCCCCTCTGTCAGGTTGTCACAAGTCATTCTGGGAAATATAAGAAACCGCTAACTGAAGTGGAAGAAGATAAGGTTGAGGGAGAGTTGATACAGCAAGAA